ACGTTCTGTTTGCCCATCCGTTTGAGGATGCCGTGCGGAACTTGGTTTCATGCCAGTGCCGGATTCCACCATGAGTGTCATCCAAAAGGCCGACACGAAACGAGTGTCGCAGTCACTGACGATGTCTTCCGGGACGCCATGGTTGCAAAACCAACCGGTATGCAAAAGTCATGCTAGCTGGGGAGCCGTCGCATGATATTTGCATGGAAGAAATGACGCCCTTTGTTCCCGTGGCAAACTGCACGACTGAATGTACCGGTGGATGTCGCTGATGATGTCTGGCCAGCGGAATCGCTGGCGGAGTCGTGCAAGTGTCTGTGCAACGCCAAGGTGTCCCACTAGCCGCGAATTGTGGTATTCGCCAAGGAGGCGAGTGCGCAAGATGCGATCTTGGGGAACACACAACAAGTCCTTGCCTTGTGTATGGAGAAGCAAGTAGCCGTCGACGATGCGTAGAGTGTGGAGAATCCCGGATCTGACTTGTAGTTGTTTACAAAATGTTGTTGCAGGTCCTCATCGAGGCGGAATGTGGAGTGCACCAAGGCGCAAAGATAGAGTATTTGCGAGAGAGCATCCGCCGCCTTGTTCGAGGGGCCCGGAATATGCTTGGAGGTGAAGTCGAACTGGTCAATGAAAAACATTTAGCGACCGATCGTGTTGCTCACCGTGTCTTGCGTCTTGTAATAAGTCAACGGATTGTTATCCGTTGCCCACGTGAATCACAAACGCCCGAGGAGAAAGTGATGCCAACGCTGAAGTACCGTGGCAAAAAAAGGCTAGCAGTCCTTCCTTGTATCATCCAAGGAATTGATGGGCGGCACCTTTTGGCTGAAGTACTCAACCGGATGCCAATCTGTGTTGTCATGCTGTTCCAAAACCGCGCCAATGTCGTAGCAGGAAGCATCCGGAGTTACTTTGGTTGGCAAGGTTGGGTCATAAATGCTCAAGACGGGAGTTTGAAGCAAGGGTCTTCAGCGTATGGAACGTGTGTCGGGCTTTGTTGTTGAACTCGAAGGGCACCAACGGGGATTGAAGTCAGGTCAATGGTGCAGCAATCCGTTGGAAGCTTTACGAAGTGCATGTAGAATGATGCGAAGCCGCGAAAGGAGCGGACACCGGTAGTACTTGCGAGGTCCAGCCAATCTTGAACGGCTTGTACTTTCGTGAGCAAACGAATGCCTTGCGGCGTAACGTAATGGCCCAAATACTCCAGCTCTTGCTGGGCAAACTTGCACTTGTCGTGGTTCGCCTTGTACTTGGTGGTACGGAGCCGCTCCAAAACGGCACAAAGGTGCTCGAGCCTCGAGGTGCTCGTCCAACAACCGACTATAAACCAAGATATCATCAAGGTAAATGGATACGGTGCAGTCGAGCAGGTCACGAAATTACGTCGTCATAGCTGCTTGGAAGGTAGCCGTGGCATTGGTGAGACTAAATGGCATGACGATCCATTCAAAATGCCCATACCGCGTTTTGAACGCGGTCTTGTACCAATCTCTTGGCGGGATCTTGATCTGGTGATAGCCTGATTTGAGATCCAGCGTCGAGAAGTATTTGGTGCCGACGTATGTGACACCCACGGCCTAGGCCGCGGGCATTTCTGCCGCTACAGCCGAAAAACTCGGCCGCGATCGCGGCCCATAAGGCCCACTCCGCGGCCTGTTTTTTTAATAATTTTTTTTCCCCCCTAAAAATACGTAAAATATGTATATATATAGGGGTGTAGGGCTTAGAAAACCCTACAATCCTATGTTTTTTATTTGGAATTGGACTTCGTTTAAGATTCCTAAAAAATGAAAAACGAAATTCGATTTAAACAAGATATTTACAAATAAATAAAAAGAAAGTAGGATTTTTTTTTTTTGTCATTTTTTATCATCATGAGGGATATGGTCCTTGAGTTGTGCTGCATTTTTTTAGAAATGAATTTCGGTTTTTTGCAGGTGAACTAGGTGTTTAAAAAAAATGAAGATGCAAAAATTGAAAACAAATAAACAAGAAAAGGGTTTGATTGATTGATTGATTGATTGATTAATTTGCTTTGATTGATTGATTGATTTTGTGTGTGTGTGTGTGTATGTTTTACTTTGCGAGTCAAACCTCCGCGACTATGTCACGGCATGTTGCGTCAAAACATCATGCGAGGAAAACGACCCCAGTCAAGCAGTTCCAAGATTACCCAACGAAGAACCACCACGAAACACCCTCGAAGCAAGTGGAAGAAGTCGGGTAAAATGCATATTGATCTGTCGGCAACACAAGGGTGAGGAATAATTATACTATGGACAGACATGTGAAATAATGGATTTGTAAACTTCAAAACATAGTTATAAAATACAGGAGGGGGGCAGGGGATCATGGCAGATTCATTAAGTACACCAGACAAACAAGCGCAAACACATGCCAACTATGATTGCACCGAGAAGGACTGCCGCACACACTCATTTCTTGGAAAAAAAAGCTTGGTCACAAAGTCGTTACAGATGAAGATTCTTCCACCATACCACTCACTGATTCCATCAGTCTAACTTAGAACTCCAACCCCCAAATTTCCACAAGATGGTACGTGGGCAAGGTGAAAAGGCTCCGGTATGAGCGAGCAACCCCACGACAAAACATCCACCTCAGAGTTCGATCGTCATGATAGCAATAGAAGCAAATAAGGCGGCCGCCCAGCACCGCACGACATCATCAAGGGAGATAGGACAAGACGCATCCGCGATCAAGGGGGGGGCATAGTTCACGATCTTCCATGCAAAGAACAAAGAAGACATGCTCGACCCAAGACAAGACAAAAACGCCGCGCCCATTACAGTCCAAAGCCAAAAATGATTGATCGATGATCCCTGGAAGACACCCTCCTCCCCTCGTATCTCCCACCACAGCTCTGAACTACCTCGCACCGCCGCCATAATGAACCACACAACGCTCCTCCCAAATCCTTGCAATGTCCACTTCTCGCCGCCGCATCCCACGCCGATCACTCCTCATCGTCCACCTCATGGGGAAACATCCACCTAGCAACACAAGCATCATTTGATTATAGGAGCTTCAAAAGCCGTTTTCCAGAGAAACACCCCTCTCACCCACTCAGAACGCAGTTCTCATGGAGGGTAGTAGAAACAGTAGAGTAATCGTCCTCCTCTATCCGCAACACCTCTCGGGGTAGCTCTGACATCAGGCCTTGCAGACGCGCGGGGGAACACACGGGGAAGACGTATTCACGAGCAAGCCCCTACAGATACAGGCCAAAGCTTCTCGGCTGTCCAGAAACGCTAGGAACGACAAAAAGGTGAAGAGGGCGATCAAAGTGACGACAATACAGTAGACTACCCCAAGCTTGTCCATGGCGAAGTGCTTCAAAATTCAACCCTGCAAAAGCATATCGACTCGTTCCTTCGACAGCAACCATATATCCCTGGATCCAGCAACCAACCCAAACCCACACATACACGTCATACCAACACAATGAACAGTGATACTTATCACAGCCAGAATAAAGCCAATTACAAGGCCAATACATGTTCGTTAAAAAACATAAGACACCTTGTGCAGGAAAGAAGGGTTGGGGAACAACAAATAGAGAGCAAGTATCCCAATTCGGCCAAGCGGCCCCTATGATGCCGACGTATGGAAGGAGGGTGGTGGAAAGGCCCTAAAGTACTTTTCGTCGGCGTCCACCTTGCCGGCTCATCTGAGAGCAAAAACATCCTCCATTATGTTCCGAAAAGGAATTACGAGGATCCAACCTCGGGAAGAACGAAGCCAATGCACGGGGGCGAGGGGGGAGGGGTGTGGGGGGTGGGTGGTGGGAAGGAGGCGGAGCATTACCGATGCGCTCGCCATGCTTCGACAGGGTGTGCCTGCAATGGATAGTAGCGCTCACGAAAGCAACACCCAAAAAACACCAGCAACCACGACGCCTCGAAGATGACGACTACCACGGCCAAGTATTCTGAGCTATGGGAGGAGAAGCGACATAACTACACCCTCACGTCGATACGAGCACCATGAAGGAAGATGCGTCCAGCGAAGGGCATAGGTCGTCGCTCCGGAAAAACGGAGAGGAGGAATTCCCGACTTCGTCAGGTTATTATACATCAGTCAAGACGGGGAATAGGCGTTATTGCGGATTTTGTAGACCGATGCGTATCCCGCGTGTGGGTGGGTGTAAAAAAACGCTACCCAGAGGACGGGCTCCAATGGGGCCGAGGAAAAATTCGTGGGCCGGGTATGCTTCCGTATGTTATCACTCCCCTCGTGGGGGGTACACTCTCGTTACTTCATTGGGTGCAGCCTTAAAAAAAATCTTTTTCTCGGTGGTACTCAGGGAAAGGCTTAAACCATATACAAGATATGTATATATATATATATGTAGCCATGTTGTGCCTCTAGTGCCAGCAGCGTGTCTGGAGTGTATTTTTTGGCTGTGACAGACCTTTCTTTGTTTCGTGGATGTTTTGCAGGCTTGTGATGGGGTGTGAATCGACAGTCTGTAGAGTTTTCCATCTGGTGTGGGTGAGTGATAGTCTACTTTGATTTTGGTTAAGGTGGGATTCTACAGACTGTTGAGGGTTCAGCCTCCTGATGAGTCGGTGAAACTCCGACGAAACAGTTTGTCACAGCCCCTCGTTTGTTGTCCTCTTCTCTCTCTCTGCCTACGGTTTACGGGGCAGTTCTGTTTGTGACGATATATATATGTATATATATATATTTATATATATATACAAATTCGTACAAACGGCTGTCTGCAAATAGGTTAAAAAAAAAAAAAAATTCTCTCTCTCTATATTTAAGCAGAAAAGTGTGTGTGTGTGTGTGTGTGTCCCACCCCGTTCCTGCTACCGAGTAGCATGCTGAGGCAGGTAACGGGTACCTACCTCAGGCAGGATACCCATTAGCTACCACAACAGCCCTACTGGTAGGGGAAACACTGTAATCACAACAAACACCCCAAATACACATATCAATCAAAAGGCCTAGGTCAATCGTTCACATACCTCGAAGAGCCGGATGGTTTTCGCAATGTCCACTCTGGCAGGGGAGAACATTTGTGGGTTGTTAAGGACTCTGTTGACACACCCTATGCATCTTCGGATACCAAAGCCGTTAGTCGTCATATACGAAACTACCCTCAAGATTTCACTCACTACGTCCCCAGGGCGAGAGCACAGAACCAATACCAGTGCAATCTGTGCCAGAATAATGTTTAGGGATTGCTGGACTGGTCGGTTGGACTCATACTTAATATATCTCACTTCTGGAAAATTGAGAGCTAACCTCTTGTTGAATTTAGTGGTAAAAAACTCCCCAGTGGTTTAAGATGTAACGGAGATGTCTATATTCAAGAATTGGGCCTTCAGTCCATAAATCTCGCCGGTAGGCTCGGTAGTGAAAATGTCGGTTTGATGCTTGATCTCAATAAGGTGCCTCGGGTACAGGTGATACAAGTTCCCCTCTCCTTCCTGAAGAAACATCAGAATGGATGGGTTATTGATGCAAAGCAAGTCATCAATATACCTGAAAGAATGCTTGAACAGGGGGAGGAGGTGGAACGCATTGCGATCAACCAGGCGCATGATGAGGTTGTACTACTTGAAAAAAATAAACCGTACACCATACAGGTGAGCATGGCAAACCCATAGGAATTCCTAATTTTTTACGCCAGATTCTTCCTCCAAACGTTGTAAAACACCTGCATGCTAACCATTGACACATACGGATGACAACACTCTGATGAATCCAAGAAACAGAATCTGAGGAACTACCCTTACGTTTCTCAATGGAGCATTCGTACGAGTCATCCCTCTTTTTCTTGCACTTGACCCAGCTGCTCAGATGATTGGAATCAGCAAAAATGCAATTCTTACGAAAAAGGAAATAGCCGCACCGAAGCTGTCATCAGAGTCATCAATAGGGATAGTTTCGAAACATCTCGTAATATCTGCAGAAAAAACCGAATAAATCTTATCTGGAAGATTATAACAGTAGTCCTGAAAAGAATCAACCGACCACCAAATTGAAGTTTCTACACCATGGAAACGTTTGAGTCCATCAGTGATTTCTTTGCAGCGGGTCATGACCAGTGGGGTAAGGCACTTCATATCAGAATCACAAAGACAAGCAATCGGGGTGTGGAACGTAAACGAGGCATTTGTAAGCCATCTGAATGTGAGCTTATGATGCTTATACAATGCCATTATATATGGGATCCTCCCTGTGCCAACTGAGAGGTTTGGTAGCAATGCTACCAAGGAGCATTCAGCCTCCTTCACTTGGGAGAGCACTGATGGCTTCGAAATACACTAGAAACCCTATCAAGTGCAAGTTTTCGAATCAGGTGTATACAGACGAACGAAGGGGTGTTCGCAGACTTGTCGGTTCCTGCTATGAACACTCGTTTTGAAAGGAAGGACAACTCATTGCGGACTGCATAGTCATCCAGGGTGCACGGGGGGTCCCTATGTTTCCTAAGGGTTGCAAAACCCAGTTGCTTCCTAACTTCTCCCGTGACGAATTCAGAGGCCCTGGCAATCATACCTGGGGAGACAAACGTGCGACCAGAGAGAAATTTCACAACATCCCTCCATGCTTTTTGGAATTCCCGTAAGGCGACACTCGGGATACGTGGCTGCAGGGGGATATGGTTCAAACCCTGCGCAAGCAAATCCTTCAGTTTTGGGAGGATTGCGATCGAGGGGATAAGGGAGAGGACGTGGGTGGAGGGGGTCGCATAGGGTCGGGACATGCCCAAAGTGTAAGGGTGATGATAGGTTGAGAACCTGCTTGAACAACAAAAACACCTCTCCACCATAGAACAAGATTCCAACCACTGATCCAACACAAAACTGCAAAAAACAGCAGAAGGTTTAACACGACTGATTCCAAAGTGTTCAGATACGTTCACCAATAACTATAGCCGCTAGGAGAGCCCTAGCATGGACTGGAAAAAACATCAACAACTCTTTCAAGGATAGGCCGGAAACGGACGTTCTCCATGACCCGACTCGTGTAGCAGCTATGCACGAAGAAAGACTTGTCTGATGATCGGGTCTTGCGCCACTTCTCTCCCGGCGGGGTCACGAGTCATGACACCCTCGTGCTCCTGCAATCACGAAACAAACAAGACAGCTCAGTCTGCAAACAGGTTCGCCCTCGCTAAGTCCCTCATCCTCGGGCTCCTTCTGAGTGTCTTGCTGGAAGCTGATGTCTGAGCGTCGCTCAGAGTAGTGATGACCGAACTCGAGGGGGTGCTCTCGGCGCAGGCACCCGAAGATGTGTGTGCAGGTGTGGTGAGCAGGTCCTGAACCGCAGGCGCAATGTAGAACGTCAAAGTGGTTTGCTGCCCCTTTCTCGCCTTCTTCGTCGACGGAGCGGCTGCCAATTGCTCCTTCCTCTTCCTATCATTCGGGGACTGGATGTACCGGGTGGGAAAAATGAGCTTGGCCATGGTCTTCGGGAACTTGTGCAACATGATGTCCGGGTCACCGAGGATGTTCTTTGGACTTCTAGTGGGGTCAAGGATGACATTGAAGGCCATACTAACCATGATCCCCCTCATGTGGGAGAAGACAACCGAAGCGAGAATGGGGGTGCGCCACAACGTTTTGGCACGGTTTCTGAAAGCCCTTGCTCGAGCCCTCAGGGTCGGGGCTTGGGGGTAGAGGTACTGCAGGTCTGACATAAGATACCAAAGCACGTGGTCAAACCACGAAATATTCTTCCCGCAATCCCCCTTGTTCATCTGCACACATTGACATTTGAGATAGGGACGAGCAACATTCCAAATACGTTTGAGTTCAGCCATGGCCGATTGCACCCGGGGACCCAAAAATCCTCTAATAGCGAGGGTTGATGGCGTGATAGTGCACTTAGTTGGGTCAAAATCGCCCAGAACCGAAAGGTTCATAGTGTCTGCGGTCAGGGGGTAATCCCAAGTTTCGTGTTTCAGTGAGTGCTTTCTGATTACACGTCTTCATCTCATCCTCACCAAGGGATGCCAAGAAGCGGTATGCAACAGGGCTGATCGGTGCCAGGTAATTGAAGGTGTCAAGATCCCACAATCTATCTTCCACCCCCCTCGAGCGAGCCTCAACCCATCTCAGTGAGGCAGTGGGGAGAAATGCATTCCGGGTGTATTTATTCACCTTCACCCTATGGTTGGATGCGACCGCCTTTGCCCTCTGCGACCTGCTCTCGCTATAATCTTCCTATGGAATTCCTTCTCTGCTTCCGTAAGGGGGAGGGAATCATCCTCCTCCTCCTCCTCATCAGACTCACGCGTACCTGGTTAGTTTGTAATAGTTCGCGTGGAAATTCGAATCGGCGTGCCAGAGATCAACCAGAACCTTTTCCTTCATGGCGAGATCATCTCGAGTGCAGAGTTCTACAAGATCATCCTCTTGCTTTTGGTCATAGGCCTGAGTGACTAAGCGCTTAGAAAGCGCCGAAAAGGCTTGTTTATCGTGAGCAGTTCACAACAGGTCCGCCCAATCATTGAACGTAAGTACAGTGATGAGGGGAGGGGAAGGGGGGGAAATCCCCACTGAATAGACTTTCACAAACTCCAGGACCCTACTAAGAGCTAAAGAAATCAGCATTTGAGCCGGGCGGGAAGGAGCACAGAACGAATCAAGCCAAGCCATGCCTTCACCGAGCAGATTCGAGTACCATCCGTCGTTGGAAAACGAAGGCACTTGTAACAGGCACACAAGACACCATAGTAAGAACAAACCAACACCCAAATGCCCAAAGGAGAATATGTATTCAACCAGGTCCAAACCACTCCAAAGATGGTGAGAGGTTGATTGATAGGTAACCAGTGGGGGAACTAATTGCTCCGGAGGGAAGTTGACAAAGCATGACCGGGACAACAACATGTCGAAAGGGAGTCAGACCCCTTCGACGACAACTATGGGACGAACCCAATGTGTGTGTTTTACTTTGCGAGTCAAACCTCCGCGACTGTGTCACGGCATGTTGCGTCAAAACATCATGCGAGAAAAATGACCCCAGTCAAGCAGTTCCAAGATTACCCAACGAAGAACCACCACGAAATACCCTCGAAGCAAGTGGAAGAAGCCGGGTAAAATGCATATTGATCCGTCGGGAACACAAGGGTGAGGAATAATTATACTATGGACAAACATGTAAAATAATGGATTTGTTGTAAACTTCAAAACATAGTTATAAAATACAGGAGGGGGGCAGGGGATCATGGCAGATTCATCAAGTACACCAGACAAACAAGCGCAAACACATGCCAACCATGATTGCACCGAGAAGGACTGCCGCACACACTCATTTCTTGGAAAAAAAAGCTTGGTCACAAAGTCGGTACAGACGAAGATTCTTCCATATAACTCACTGACTCCATCAGTCTAACTTAGAACTCCAACCCCCAAATTTCCACAAGATGGTACGAGGGCAACGGGAAAAGTCCTCAGTATGAGCGAGCAACCCCACGACAAAACATCCACCTAAGAGTTCGATCGTCATGATAGCAATAGAAGCAAATAAGGCGGCCGCCCAGCACCGCACGACATCATCAAGGGAGAAAGGACAAGACGCATCCGCGATCAAGGGGGGGGCATAGTTCACGATCTTCCGTGCAAAGCACAGAGAAGACATGCTCGGCCCAAGACAACACAAAAAAGCTGCGCCCATTACAGTCCAAATCCAAAAACGATTGATCGATGATCCCCGGACGACACCCTCCTCCCCTCGTAACTCCCACCACGACTCTGAACTACCTCGCACCGCCGCCATAATGAACCACACAACGCTCCTCCCAAATCCTTGCAATGTCCACTTCTCGCCGCCGCATCCCACGCCGATCACTCCTCATCGTCCACCTCATGGGGAAACATCCACCTAGCAACACAAGCATCATTTGATTATAGGAGCTTCAAAAGCCGTTTTCCAGAGAAACACCCCTCTCACCCACTCAGAACGCAGTTCTCATGGAGGGTAGTAGAAACAGTAGAGTAATCGTCCTCCTCTATCCGCAACACCTCTCGGGGTAGCTCTGACATCAGGCCTTGCAGACGCGCGGGGGAACACACGGGGAAGACGTATTCACGAGCAAGCCCCTACAGATACAGGCCAAAGCTTCTCGGCTGTCCAGAAACGCTAGGAACGACAAAATGGTGAAGAGGGCGATCAAAGTGACGACAATACAGTAGGCTACCCCAAGCTCGTCCATGGCGAAGTGCTTCAAAATTCAACCCTGCAAAAGCATATTGACTCGTTCCTTCGACAACAACCATATATCCCTGGATCCAGCAACCAACCCAAACCCACACATACACGTCATACCAACACAACGAACAGTGATACTTATCACAGCCAGAACAAAGCCAATTACAAGGCCAATACATGTTCGTTAAAAAACATAAGACACCTTGTGCAGGAAAGAAGGGTTGGGAAACAACAAATAGAGAGCAAGTATCCCAATTCGGCCAAGCGGCCCCTATGATGCCGACGTATGGAAGGAGGGCGGTGGAAAGGCCCTAAAGTACTTTTCGCCGGCTTCCACCTTGCCGGCTCATTAGAGAGCAAAAACATCCTCCATTACGTTCCGAAAAGGGAATTGCGAGGATCCAACCTCGGGAAGAACGAGACCAATGCACGGGGGCGAGGGGGGAGGGGTGTGGGGGGTGGGGGTGGGAAGGAGGCGGAGCATTACCGATGCGCTCGCCATGCTTCGACAGGTGCGCCTCCAATGGACAGTACCACTCATGAAAACAACACCCAAAAGACACCAGCAACCACGACGCCTTGAAGATGACGACTACCACGGCCAAGTATTCTGAGCTATGGGAGGCGAAGCGACAGAACTACACCCTCACGCCGGTACGAGCACCATGACAGAAGATGCGTCCGGTGAAGGGTATAGGTCGTCGCTCCGGAAAAACGGAGAGGACGAATTGCTGACTTCGTAAGGTTATTATACATCAGTCAAGACGGGGAACAGGCGCTATTGCAGATTTGGCAGACCGATGCGTATCCCTCGTGTGGGTGGGTGTAAAAAAAACGCTACCTAGAGAACGGGCTCCAATGCGGCCGAGGAAAAATTTGTGGGCCGGGTATGCTTCCGTATATTATCACTCCCCTCGTGGGGGGTACACTCTCGTTACTTCATTGGGTGCAGCCTTAAAAAAAATCTTTTTCTCGGTGGTACTCAGGGAAAGGCTTA